TTTCATCGAATTTGGCACACAGGGCCGATATAACATGACTTGTGCTGTTTTTAGCCGATTTTCATCGAATTTGGCACACAGGGCCGATATAACATGACTTGTGCTGTTTTTAGCCGATTTTCATCGAATTTGGCACACAGGGCCGATATAACATGACTTGTGCTGTTTTTACCCGATTGTCATGGAATTTGGCACACAGGGCCGATATAACATGTCCTATATATATATATATATATATTTGATGACAATCATAAATTTAAATATAAATTTTAATACAAATATTAAATTTAAATTTAAATTTTTAAATTTAAATTTTATTTCTAAATTTTTTAATTTAAATTTTAATATTAATTTTAATATCAATTTTATTATCAATTTTAATACAAATATAAATTTCATGACAATCGGGTAAAAAGTGCAGAAGTTACAGGTTCTAGAATATTTTGACAAAAAATGTTGTTATCATGGCAACGATGACTCCGCCTACACCAAAAACGATTGGCGTCTTCGCTTTACGATAACGCACCTTCATGCGAAATTTGAAGGTGATCCAAGAAGAACTGCAGCCGGTAGAGCGTTCGCAAGGAAATCTCTGCGGCGGCGGCGGCGCGACGATGCCAAACCCATAGTATCCCCACGAACTTCGTTCGGACAATAACATAATGAATGTATGACTTATTTGGATGTGGCAATAGACGAGATATAAATGTAATAATATGTTTTTATGAGAAACTCTTAAAAAACTTTTATTTTCCTATACTGTACTTACCAGGAGGAACTATGTAGCCATGAAACAAGACATTCCCACACGATGAGTGATTTAGGTCTTCACATAATCCAAGTCTCTTCACTGTAAGAGAACATTAATGTATTATACTAGATCCAGACTATATATGCATCACAAATACATATTAGTACTGTTACTTGCTAATATTATAATAATAAGTATGAGTACGATATCTGTTATTCATATACATAATAAAGTTAATAGTGCTAATTAATACTTTCAAGGATTTTTTGAGAAAATATAAACTACCAAAATACAGTAGTGATTTTCTTCACTCTTTATAGTTAAATTGCTATATGATAATCCTATTTTGCAATTAAGTATTATGTAAATGAACACTTTTGGCTTAAATATTTCCAAAAGCTAGCACTAAATGTCTTTAGAGTTTAGAAGAAGTCAAATCATGCCCATTTCTTGAATTTTTTTAAAGTGTAAACATTCTTGAATTTGGTAGAGGTTGCATATATTTTTAGTTGTATTACTACTTAGTTTTTGTTCAAAAAATATTTTTTAGAAATATACTTTCCATAAAAGATTGAATTGGTCAATTCAAGACAGATTGAAATACATTCAGCACACCATGCAGTTTCAAGAACACATCTTCCTCCGATCCCACAAATATTTACACCTACCAAGTGTGGTGATACCATAGAATTCTGCCTCACTTTTGATCGTCGCCAAATCAAGATTGCTGCAAATAAGCCACAGCTTTTTTATACACTTTTCAAGCATTTACAGGTTTTGTGCACTCATCATGACTTGGACTTGCAGTAATAAGTATAGCATAGAAAATTCATAGACTGCTACAAAATTCCAACATAAAGCAATATAATATTCTGGGAACTATGCCAATTATTTTCACTCTCTTTGCATTAAGCTGGTTTTATTCTCTATACTATAAGTGTTTTCCTATCCTGAAGTACTCATATATAATATCAACTAAAGCTTATGTTGCACCCATGTTTACACCAATGATCAAAGTTTATTGCATCTTTTAGTAAGAACAGTAGTACATAACGATATCACGATAATTCAACAGTTTATCCTACTCACCTGACATCAAATTGCTTTGTTCTGAGAAAGTTCAATATCACTCCAAATGCACTTGGGTCACGATCTATGAATATCTGTGAAAACAATTTTTAAACCAAGTTTATACTATTTACTGTTAAATGAAGCCATTATTTCTTACTACGTGTGAATAATTAATTGAACTTACCTAACTGATAATATAAGAAAATTAATCACTAAGAATATTTAAAAACTATAGTATGGTTGTTCCAATAACTAGTTATCACAATACAATTTAACTATACATACAGCACCATTTTCATCCTTCAAAGTAGAAATTCTTCCACTAAGCATGCTGTAAGTAACAAAAAACATATATTAACACATGATCATTGTCTGATTTCCCACAATCAACATTACCTGCAAGCAAAACACAAGATAACTATAAACATATAATCCAATAACATGACTTACTTAACATGATGATGATACCTACAAGACCAATGATAAGTTGTCTCACAAATTAGGACTTAACACGTTACCTTGTAAAAAATGTGTCTGGAACCCATGTCAACGTCTGACGAGATGTTGAATACCTGTCCAGTACAACAAAAATATTTTGGTTCAAAATTATCCAGTTTGTGGAATAAACATGTTATGATTCTTGCTAGAATTGCACCTATTAATTATTATAACCTCCTATGTCAGTGGTTCTTAACCTGGGTTCGACCGAACCTCAGGGGTTCGGTGAGCCAGTCTCAGGGGTTCGGCAGAGGTCCTCCAAAACGCATTAATATTTTGTACAAAATTTTTTTTAGTAAAGTAATTTAAAAAAAAGTATTTGCGAGCATACGTTTTCGAAACTGGTGGACATCAAAACAAAGAAAAGGAGCAGGCTTGCATGCGAAAATGATATGAGCCCTTGCCAAAGCAAAGCCACGCATTTCTCAGATCTTTGCCCAAAAACAAGAACAAAAAACGCATTATGATGCAATTCTTCTAATTGTGCATTATCTGTGCACTTCATTTTGTGTGCAACTTTTATTATAATTTTTATTTTTTGATCATTCTTTGCACGCTTTCCAAATATAGTCTTGAATGTTGATGCAATATGTTTTATTTTTGGATTAATTAAAATTGATTTGTTTTTGTCAAATTTGAGGGGTTCGGCGAGTGAGCAGTGGGATTCGTTAGGGTTCGGCGCCTCTAAAAAGGTTAAGAACCACTGTCCTATGTAGTATCTTGTGTTACCAAAGTTGTGCTCAATTTGACAATTAAGGCCCCTGTCTATTAGTATAGATATTCTGTTCATGCAGTTGCCATATTTAAAGATGCAGCAAATACAGATTTACATTTATACGTTGTTATGTGTTACACAGTTCTGTGCATCATTTCATATACTGCTACATATATCGAAGATAATTATAATGCATTGAGACCTTCAACAAATAAATCTCCACCTGTGCAGAATTCTGTCACAACCAGGCATGACACTGACAGCCAAGATGTGCAGTGCCAGTGAATTAACATAACTAAGTCAGTAATAGTATGACAGTAAGTGGTAGTAACGCTCATAGGGTCAATGTCCCCCAGGGTACTGCCGGAACGTACCCTGGGTACGGTCCGGTATACCGGAACGTACCCTGGTAACTATTTGATATGGTTATGGTTAGGGTTAGGGAGTAGGCGTAGGCGACTCCCTAGACTCGTTAGTGGAGTAGGCGAGGTACTAGCTCCAAGAAACGGTATCGCTAGGGTTAGGATACCGTTTCAAACCGTGGCTGCAGCTAAACACGTAGTTGCCTTATGTTCCAAGTATCGCCAAAGAACACCACACATGTGATATACCAAATGAATCAGTAAACGTTCACCTTCTTGTAACCATCAGTGCGCTACGATGCGCTGGGTACTTACGGGGTTACAGCAACTTTTTGTGACGAATGCAACTAAATTTATGAATTTGCCACCATGTTTGCTATCATTCCGACTGTGACTAAAATCCGCAATGGATCGAACAAAGGAAATTAAACGATCTGCGGTCGTCATGTAAACCACCCCTACATCCGAGAACATGTCATCTAAGGTTTTTTACAAATGGCCCAGACATTTCTGAACATCGTTTCACTTGCTTTGGTGTGTAATTGCCTTGAGAGCCATCGTACTATTTCTGTAGTATTTTCTAGCGAGTCTATTCCGTTTCGGGTTTTCCGTGCCTTGCTAAACATGGCGGTTAAAGCTGATTTGAAAGTTGATATGCTGTGAGAATTAGCAGATTATCCCGTGAATTAAGAGATACATTCTAGTTTAGAAGCAGGATAACTGTGAGTTAACGTTCATATTTTAAACAAGGCAAGTCAAAGGTGGTAATGGAATAGTTTTATTTGAGATATACAGAGTTATTCATCTAGATCTGCAGAGGTGATAGGTTTTTTGTATGGAAGGGTGTCAGGCTGTATAGACAATCCGTCGCACAGCCTGGTCAGGCTAGCGAGGTACGGTCCGGTATATTACTAGTATTAGATAGTAACATGGTACGTTCCGGCAGTAACCTGGGGGACATAGACCCTCGCAGCGCCGGAGGTAGTAACAAGTAAACACATAATGTGTCTTTAAACCAAAGTCCAAGTATTGAGTATAGTCTACTAAAGACGGAGAGCGTGAATTTAATGGGGTCTTCTGTGAAAATAGGAAAGGGTGTGTTTAATGACAACCCAGTCATGAGACCCAGACAAGTCTAAAAACACCTACCTAGTTCCTCCAACATTGAGATGAATAATGTCTCCTGGGAAGACTGACGGCGCTGCCGCCATCGTTCTACAACAGGATAGAACTATTTTGAATAGTTGCGAATCACTTAATAAAGGCCAATATGCAAGGTAACATGCAAGGAGATGACTTCGTTTCAGACTTCAGTGATTAATGATTTCGCATGAGCGTGCGCCCTCTGTCGTTCACTTTTAGCATTTCCATTCCGCGGCGGAAAACATTTTTAGAGAACGTACAAAGTAGATATAAACATAGGAAACTGTTAAACATAAATTATCATAACTTATACAATGCACATAAAGTGAACAAGTTACACTGAGCTTGCTTTATGTAAGACGTGTACACATTGTGAAAACACATAATTTACATTACTGATCCTCGTCAGATGGCGCTAAACGTCCCGTGAGGATGTGGCGAAGTCCAATATAATTTTCTTGTGAGTTTCAGAATTCTTTAATTCTATCTAGTTAATAGTTTTCCTAAGTTCAAAAGTTGGGTAAGACAATTGGCGTGAACACAACAACGGTGATGTGAATTAGAGGTAGTAACTAGTATGTTACATCCTGAGCACAGCCTACATAATAAACTACACTTTCTACCTACGGCATAGTACTGTTCATTGTCATAGGGTCTATGTCCCCCAGGGTACTGCCGGAACGTACCCTGGTCACTATTTGATATGGTTAGGGTTAGGATTAGGGTTAGGGTTAAGGAGTAGACGTAGGCGACTCCCTAGACTCGAGTCGTTAGTGGAGTAGGCGAGGTACGGTCCGGCATATTAGATAGTACCAGGTGGCAGGTAGCTCCAAGAAACGGTATTGCTAGGGTTAGATACCTATTGACGGTGTATTGACGTTAGTCACACAGCCTGGTCGGGTTAAGTACCAGGGTACGCTCCGGCAGTACCCCGGGGGACATCTAGACCCTCTCAGCCATAGTGCTAGTACTAGTAGTAGTACTAGTAGTTTAGTACAGAAATGGTAGGCGTAAAGCCTAAACTAAAAGGAGTAAAGCCTTACGCCTGTACCATGGCGTAGGTAAGGCGTATGGTGTTGTAAAGGTTTCATTCTAGAGTAAAACTAGACAAAATGTTTAACTTAGCATTGGTATGGCATGCACTATGCAGTAACTTCACATGTGCAGATATTGAAGAGAGGTTTGGGCCATTTGTTTCTTGTGACAAACAGCTTGGATCTCGTTACCTAAAATCACATCCGCTGCCCTAGCACAATGTCAATGATGGTGGAAATTGCCTTAATCGGTACAATTTGTGCATAGGGTGTAGGTTATTTGGTAAAAATAATAAGTTAATCCATTTTTAGCTCATCTCACGTAGTCAGATGCAGCTTGTAGAATCGTATGATCGTCCGTGCGTGCGTCCGTCCGTCAACAGTTGGGCACAACTCTTAACGGCTCGACCTATGCTCTTAATATTCGGTGTATAGTGTGATGGGCAGGTAACCCATCACCAGTGCAAAATTGGAGGTCACGGGTCAAAGGTCAGATATGAGACATTTTCTGAGGACATGGCCTAATGGACAGAGTGCAAAACTTTTTTGTTTCAGCGCTGACCTACCATTTTTAGCACTTTATTGAAAGGACCATGAAATGTGCTTGCCACTGACATGCGCAGAGTAAGTGTCTGATAACCTTTTGACCCTGAAGAGGAGGGTTAAACATGGATTCCTGAACTGCCTCAATGACGTCACAGTGTTGTCATATTCATGGCACATCCATAATCTAGAAACCCAATAAGCCTGGATAGCCGAACGCGTACAGCACAGGCGTCACGGCTCAAAGGTCGTTGGATCGAATACCATCTGATTTTTTATTATTTACCTGTTTTCTGTATTTTTCTAACTTTATCCATTTAACTATTTTGTTAATGCAAATATTTATATGATTTATTTGCAACAATTTAATAACAAGAAATAATTTTTTTTCAATAGGGTTAGAGGGTTAGGGTCACAATGCACCATAAAACAGGAGTTTCAGGCACGTGATTTGTATCAACCAATTGGATTTTGGAGGTATGCAGAATGCAGAAAGTTGCTGAAATGATGTGTGTACACGCAACTGCGTGTCTGCATATCTGCGCCTAACAAAGGTGTCACTACGAACGACTTAAATGTTACGTCTATAACCGTAGCAACAGACCTCAGATGAGCCCAGACGCTCTGCGGCTCTTTTTACCACACTTTTATTCTAACATTGAAGCCATGGTAGTAGGTACTTCTTTAGGAAATTAAGTTTGTTGGGGGTTAACAAGTGGCATAGTTTATTAGGTAGGTTGTGTGCAGGATACTAACACAATACCCTAAATTACATTGAGCATTACACATGTTGGCTGCATATGCATTGGGTAACACGACATAATTTTGATCAAGTCTAGTTTGGGACCCTGGTATATTTAGTTTGCAATTATGGTAAACTAATCCGGGGTGCTAAACTAGGATTAGGCTTCATGAAAAAAACAATCCTCCATTGCTTAGTCTTGATTAGATCTGTGCAGAACGACCAGACCTAGTTTCGACTATTTAGTACTACATCGTAGAACTACTGTATACTATGCAACACCTAATCAAATTACTAGTATTTATTATCACTGGTATAACACAGGTTATGGTTAGGGTTAGAGGCTACAGACTATAACTACAATCCGAGCCACAGTGCTGGAAGTCTGGAATAGCACTTCCAATGGTTGTTGTTTTAGATATTGCATTACATACAGTATACAAATTGTATACATGTAATAGTATAAATAACTATAGACATGTTTGTGCCTTAATGGCTTAACCCATAGCATTGTCTCTTTTTCATTTCTAGATCCAGAAATCTGCATACATGTACACGATGCAGTGTAAGACTTGTTCTTGGTCTTGAGTGAGGAGGAATTGTCTTGTGTAATTCCATTGTGGTGGGTGAATGGCATAATGCATTTTCGGCAGAGAATTGCTTGGATGATACTTTTATTTTATCTTGCTGCAACTGCCTACATACTGTACTTCATATTTGAAATAAGTGATTCCTATAACATATTGGCCTTGGATCACATTGAGAAATTCCACCAAAGTCATGATGCAACATATCTGTGGCCACTGTCCTCTATGTGGCGCCATCTAGCAGACATTCCATTCCCCCTGTGGTCCATTGTATTTGGAGCATTTTACCTGCAAGTATTTTGCACGATATTTGCATACACCAAGGCTGACCCCAAACTTGTGTTTGTGTGGATGCTGCCTGTTAGTGTCTACTGGAATTACAAGAGGTGGAGAGATGCACAGAAAGATAATGAATCGGTGACTCTTATCAAAGCAGGTCACAATGGTCACATCATCCAATTAGACACATAAACTATAGCTATCTTCGACGAACGACAACTCCGTACATGTGCCTCTGATCATTCGAGGGCCAAATAGTAAGATCACCAGATACTAAACCGGTGCGCAGACATCTTGACGAGCGGCAAGGATACGCGCTAAGGTAAATATGGCGAGTAGTAACGACGTGGAGGTGGCGTTAGATGCCGTCGCGGCAGATCTGGTGCCGGCCGCAGCGGCGGGCGACGCGACGGACGCGGCACTGCGGGAGACGTGCGCCAGCCTGCAGCGCTGCGTGCAGGTCGACTGCACCACCGAGAAGGCGCGGCTCGACGACACCGTCGACGAGATGCTGACGCGCCTCGAGGAGTTCTCGTCGCTGCTCGACATCGTGCGCGCCGACAGCGCCCTCTGTCTCGAGGAGACGATGCCGCGCATCCTCGCCAAGCGGCGCGAGATGGAGCAGGTGTTCGCGTCGGTCGATCAGCTGGAAGCTTTCGTGGCGACTGTCCGGCTCAATCTGCAGCAGCTGGAGGAGGCCGTGGAGAAGGCTGAGAGCGAGCGCAGCTCTCTTGGCTCCATAAAGAAAGTGCTGTCGTCGACTCTGCCCTCGTTTCTCTCCAGGATTCCGTCGGGTGCTGGTGCTGCGTCGACGACGAGAGTGCAGCGCGCCCGCAGGTACGTGGCACCGCCCGTGTTTTCGACTGACAGCTACTTCCAGAAGGATTCCGAATATCAGGAGGCTGTTCAGACGTCGGGTGTCGGATCAGATGTTCCGGATGAATCACTCGCTACTATTGTACCTGGTGACACGAGTGACCAGGTTTTGATAGAACAGCCGACACCTACTATAGGTGATTCAGACCACCAACCAAATTGAGGCAACTCTGGTCTTAACAGTGGGCCCCATGACTGAGTAGTATGCTCTGTTCTAAATTTGTGGCCTACAGAATTAAGCAATGATTAATTTTTTGATGTAAAGAGTCTGAAATGTACACTGCATTTAAATGTAACTTCACGGATGTTTATTTTTACTAAGCTTGATACATAAACCTATATGTACATGTAGTAACATTACATTTGTGGTTACTAACTGGGTAACAAATTTACACCTTCTGAAAGTCGAGTTTATTTTTTATATATAATATTCGGTGTAAATTTTTGTCATTTGCTGTCTGCTATACTGGCCCAGATGTTTATCGTATCCCCAGCTATCACATCCTGGGCTTTAAGAGAAAAGGCCCAGCCTTTAGTGAAGAACACCATGGCCACCATAGCCAACACCTACTTGTAAATTTGCCTGTTTGAGAAAGGAAAAGAAATTGACACTGAGTTGCAGATATGCCTGGAGCAGTTGACATTTTTTGAGCACAAGATAAATCGTCAGCTTGAAACTGGTGGTTAATACCCAATGGCAAGTGATACGATGATATGAATATGAAGGGTAAATATATGACATGTGACAGGCACTGTGCACTTGCTTCATTGTGACATGAATAAAAATGGCCTACCCACACTATAGGGAAAAGGGATAACGCTCCATTAGGAGTGTTTCCAACTTTGATATCATTAATGATTAATGATTAATGATTGATAATCCTAACTCTAACCCTAACCCTAACCACTAATGACATTAAAGTTAGGAACACTCCTAATGGAGTATCACCCGGGAAAAGGCTGGTCAAGGTATAAGCAACCATGGTGCAAAAATGGAGGCCAATTGTCAGATTGTAGATTTCAGAGATTTATGAGAGCACGGCCCAATAAATGGCGACACTGAGAACCTACAGGTTTATATTTTGGATAGTGGAATATGGATGGTTTAATCACTCTCAAGAAATCAGTAAGGATTATTGTCATTTTCATTATTTACTCATTTTGAGAGTTAAATGTGCTTTCTATTATTAAATACAAACAAAAGCAGTGTAGTGAGCTTTTAATGCTGAAGATGTGGATTAGTTTTATTTTGGTTCTGCAAGAAATGAGGGAAATGTGGAGTAAGTGAATGTCATACCTCTGCTTGAGTTAACTAGTCTTAACATCATAACTTGGTTAATAATATCTATGCACGTGAAGTTAATAATTGTGGTTTATTGTTTTAAAATCATGCAGCTTTCGCAGCAAGGTGGCGAGGATGACAATCTGGTATGAGTGTGTGTTCATATGTATCCAATGCATCGTATTGATGTGTCATTACTCGTACTCTAGGACATTATTAGCCCAGGTTGCATTTGCCATTTTCATACACGATTCATTTCTTATAATTGTCTTGCGTTGCTTTGGTGAAAATAGTAACCCGATGCCATTTGAAACAGCGTGTCAATTTATCCCGCAAGTACAATTATTAATATATTTTGTGTTTGGATATATGGTCCTGAAATTGCAATCAAATCACGGTTGCTATATTGGTAATTTGCTATTAATAACTACTATAAGGTATAGGTAAAGTATAAGGTATAGATGTAGTACGTTTGGGTGCACTGTGTTTCCAGTTGCTTTAGTTTCTGAACCAATATCAATAAAACAACTGTAAATACCACAGACAATTGTAGTAAGATGTAAATTACGTTCAGAAAGTGATTGCACTGCGTATTCTAACCGTTCCATCAAGTTTACTGAATTATAATCGTCGTTATAAACTTATCTCACACCCAGCTGTACCCACTGACGTCAACCTAGGAGTTATTATATGGAATACGCAAGGAACTGGTCATGAAATAGGAATTGGTTTCCTTGTAGCTACACACTCCTCACAAGAAGGCCAATTCTGCATGCCACGCTAGGGGCTCGAATCTAGTTTATGACCCCGGTTAGGGCTTGGAGCTTACAATTATATGCAAAACTGTGAAATCAGATGTACCAGTAATATGATAGATTTTGATATATATGCATATTAACTAGAGTAGATAATAACACTTGATGTTATTATCTACTCTTGATATTAAAAATAGCATGAAAATTGAGTACAGCAACAACAGGTGCCAGCTTCAAGGGGGTGTTTGTGGATGCATGGTGACCTAACGCCTCAAACGGGACTATACTTGCTGTGTGATATTTTATATACTGATATTAACTAGTATTGTTAATTTTGAACTGCAAATCCTTGGCATACATGTGCAGAATAAAGACAGATTGTTAAACCCTGGATAAAATTGAACAAATTCTTAAATGTTAAGAATATTTACTTCTTTCTCAGTTCAAACACCCTGAAAACCCATAGACAACGTCTGACAAACCACGAAGCAATTCCCCACACCTAACAAATTTCAGAAAGTGTTAGTTATATGTACAAAAGTTTTATTTCGAACAATTTTATTTAGAAAGCAGTTAAAAAGTAAATTTACGACAATGTTAGTCAAACTCCTTGTCTAAGCTGGAAAGTGGTAAAAAACTGACAACAACATTAAATAAATTCAGAACTGATTTTTATAATATTGCAGTGTATACACTGACAAGGAACTGCACATGTAACTAGTGTCAAATTGCTTCTACCTGAGATACTATAACTACATGCTTGCCTATAAATGAATATTAGTACATACTGATTTTTTTACAAATCAAAACTGCAAAGGTATAGGCCCTACATGGTAATATTTGACCACGTTATCACAAATACAGTTTTAATAATAACCACTACTCTGCAATGCAGCTCCTATATATATATACCACAATATCATGAACCTACGAATATTGAATTGGAAATGCAGTATTTATTGGTCATGGAGAAAATGTTTTCCATAATACGTACAGGTTGTACCTACTACAGACTGGCAACGGCATGAACATACTGTAATGACATTACGTGATTCTATCTGGCAGATGTGGTCCCTAGCAGATAAACCGACTGTATTTACATGGGTTCGCAAAGGTTTGGATCTATCAATGCAAGACCTGCTAGGGAAATACCATGTTGCAGTATTATAAGTGTTATAAGGGTGCATGATGCTTATATTTGTCAGAAAACAGATCACTGGTTCACTTAATTTGCTATTCAAGTGCAAGTGGAAATAGACATTTGCTGCAAAAACTTCGCAGTCAAATCTTTGATATATTGGGAGGAAAAAGTCGAGACCATTACCATCAATTGATAAGGTGAAAACGTGCTTGAGACATTACATTAAAGTTTCAGTACAGAATTCGCTGCTATATGATTTTGGAATTAGATTTTTCACAAATCTACAAGTCAATGTCAGGTACCATGGTGGCACAATAAATGTGTGATTAACAAAACAGGACATTGGGTGCGGTGGTCGTGTAATAAGTATTAGCGTGAACCTATGCATATTGAAACTATATAGACTTATAACATCAGGAGTGTACTAAGAATGATCTTCATATAGCATACTGTCAATCACATGTATATCAATACTATTATTGTACTGCCTATCCAAAAGAAAGTAATAAAAATGAATATGTAGGTGCTCGCATGGAAAATAGGGCAATTCTGAGTCAATTTTCATTCAATTTAGAAATTATGGACCACATAACCAAACACTGGTTATATAAGCGGCATGGTTGCAGTAATTTTAAAATCATTCGGGTTAGGGAAACATTGGTGTTTAGGGATGCTTGCTTTCCTATGACCTATGCAGTTAGAAAACCCTGATAAATCAAGCAGTGTCTAAAGTCTTCCCTTTGCACACAATATGATAATGCAGTTCTCAAATCGGATATCTACCTAACAAACTACACAATTGGGGAGGTTTACAGATTATGTAATAAATACATTTTTTATGAATAGAACATTTTATACACAATCAATATCTGATGAAAAATCACTGCATGGGTCCCATCATAAACTTTCCAAAATGCACAAATATGAACAATACCACATTTCCTAGATATCAAACAAAAACGATGGCTTGTGGTTGAATGCAGCGAAGTGTATACATTAGATTATGTACTCACCATTGTTTCACTATAGACAATCAACAAGTTGGACACTAGTAAAATAATATGCATACATGTTTTGGAATCGATAACATTTCATTAGTTGCTGCTATATCCTTCATAAAATTAATGAACAAAACAGCATTCAGTAAAGCTATAAAGGAAAATACCTACAGGAATGATGTGTGTCATAATAACCTTTCCGTTGCAATTGCAGGCATAACTGTCATCTGATAGTTACAATATTGAAATGTCAATAGGGCTGAAATTTATCATACGTTTACTAGCTTTGCAATTTAGGCAACCATGTTTAGTTTACATCTTCGGTATGAAATTATCACACTGGTAATCCCATGTGAGTATGGTAGGTAGTGGCAGCAAATACTATATATGCTTTTCCAAAGCATGCATGTTATGGTACAGGTTTTTTATATCATCGTGGGTATCCATATAAATGATATATACCTGTAAACCGGAAATATGTCACTTTTATACTAAAAGCAACGATCACGTCACATCATTCCAAACAAGGAGTTTGCATATGCCATCGGTCTCACCTGCGGATGAGGCTGCAAGAAACGTTTTTTGAAAATTAGACATTAATTTTACACACAAAAGCTGAAGTCAAGTAGCAGAAAGGAAATTTACAGTTGCAGTTTGCCCCAATTCTTTTGTAACAATAGCTAATGTAAGTTCAAATTTATGATAGAACTCAATTTTAACTCTCCAATGCAGTGATGTGCAGAGCTTGTTTACCCATGAAAGGAACACTTACCCATAGATTGTGCCATGCAAGCAGAAGTGATCAAGGCTACGTAAAGCTAGGTAAATGGGGGTTAGGTGACATGATGCGGTGTGAGCTTAGGTATGAGAGGATGACATGGGGTGAGGTGAGGCGAGGTGAGGTGGGGTGAGGAGAGATGAGGCTAGGTGACCGTGAAGTGAAGGGAAGTGAGGTGAGGTTAGGTGTGAGATAGTGTGAGGGGAAGTGAGGTAAGATGAGGTTAGATTTAAGTGGGTTGGGTGAGGCAAGGTGAGGTAAGGTACTGCTAGAAGAGATGCAGTAAGTTAATGTGAGGTAAGGTGGTGTGATGTTAGATGAGGTTAGATAGGGTGAGATGCAGTGAGGTAAGGTGGTGTGATGTTAGATGAGGTGAGATGAGGTAAGATAGTGTGATGTTAGACGAGGTGAGGTGAGGTTAGGTAAGGTAAGGTAGTGTGATGTTAGATGAGGTGAGGTGAGGTAAGGTAGTGTGATGTTAGATGAGGTGAGGTGAGGTAAGGTAGTGTGATGTTAGATGAGGTGAGGTGAGGTAAGGTAGTGTGATGTTAGATAGAGTGAGACGGAGGTTAAAGATGAGTCTCGAATGTCTAAGACTGACCCGTGAGGGGGGGGGGTGAAGCATAGGTAGTAGTAGTTGAGGTCGAGTGAGTCAGGAGTGTGTGTCCTAGTGGCGATGCAGATGAGGTAAGTAGTATTTAGTTAGAGCGTGGGTAATAGATGTATGTTCAGGTGAGGTGAGAGTAAGAGTAGTGTGATTAAGATGAGAATGAGTTGCAGCGCTAATAAGTGTGATCTTAGATTAGCGTGAGATGAGCGTAGGTAGTGTGATGTTAATACAGGTGAGGTGAGGTGAGGTAAGGGAGATTAGGTGTAAGAATGACGGCCAGGTGAGGTAAGGTAGTGTGATGTTAGACGAGGTAGATAAGGTGAGGCGGCCAAGGTGAGGTGAGGTGAGGTGTGATTTGAGGTAGGGTAAGAGTGGGGTGAGGGGAAGTGAGGTAAGATGAGGTTAGGTCTCACACGAGAATGCGATTGTGGCTTTGTGGACCCGGGTGAGGTGTCTCAGTCGGCGCTGGGTTGGAGTGGAGGTATCTAGATAGAGAGTGAGGCTATACAATGCTAGACTGCACGGTGAGCAGTTTGAGGTAATATGCTAGATGCGTGCAGGTCGCAGGTAATGCTAGATGGAGGTGTAGGTGAGGTAATGCTAGAGTGACGCTGAGTGACAGGTGAATTGCTTAGAACTGAGTGAGGTGGGTAATGCTAGATGAGGTTAGGTGAGGTGAGGCTAATGCTAGACTGAGGCGAGGTGAGGTACAATGCTAGATCGACGCGAGGTCAAGCGTTAATCGCTTAGATTTGGAAGTGAGGTGCAGCGTCAAGCTAGATGCAGCGTGAGGCTGAGGTTAATGCTAGAATGAGGTGACGGTGAGGATAACGCCTGAGATGAAGGTGAAGGTGAGGTAAATGTAGATTGAGGTGAGGTGACGGTAAGCTAGACTGAGTGTGAAGGTGAGTGTATATGCTCACGATGAGGTGAGGTGAGGTAATGCTAGATGAGGTGAGGTGAGGTAATGCTAGATGAGGCGAGGTGAGGTAATGCTAGATGAGGTGAGGTGAGGTAATGCTAGATGAGGTGAGGTGAGGTAATGCTAGATGAGGTGAGGTGAGGTAATGCTAGACGAGGCGAGGTGAGGTAATGCTAGACGAGGCGAGGTGAGGTAATGCTAGACGAGGCGAGGTGAGGTAATGCTAGATGAGGTGAGGTGATGTAATGCTAGATGAGGCGAGGTGAGGTAATGCTAGATGCGGTGAGGTGAGGTGAGGCAAGGTACTGGTAGTGTGATGTTAGATGAAGTGAGGTGAGGTGAGGCTAGGTGAGATAAGGTGAAGTAAGTTTAAGTAGGGTGGGATTAGGTGAGTACAATTTTTACGCATGGGTTTACACATGCTTACCACTGCGTCATAGCTCACGAAGTCCCGTTGCAACTTTCCATCGACTACTTTGAGTTGGACAAATGCTCCCTTGTTTCCCATTTGATCACTAAAAGACCAAGGACAATAATAACTATACAGGAAAATCCTACAAGACTCCTGTGCAATACAGCATATAGATACAAAATAAAGTACAGAAATCAGACTTGTTAACATTTTACAATTTCAAGTTAAATTAAGTTAGCGTAATTTTTTTTACACACACATATATACATATATATATGCATGTGAGTGTATGAAATATAATCTTTATCTGCGGCTGCATATAATGAAATATAATTGTATTATATAGAAACCTCTACTTATTCTATTCAATACACAGCCACAACACTAACGTTTGGGATTGGTACCATTTGGAATATTTGACAAATCTAGGCTCCTCTACTTCCCAGCCCACCACTCAGCCCACCTCTACCCTGCTTAACCATTCTAATCCTCAGCACATCCCAGCTCACATCCTCTCAGCCCCAGCACCTTCCAGCTTATTGACTCTAGGCCCACCTTCTCCCACCTCCCTCTTGTAGGCTCCATCACATACTAGATAACCTCTAGGTCCCTCCTCCAGCTTTCCTCTCAGCCCCCCACCACCACCACCCAGCTTCCCTATCAAACCCACCCTCACCCAGACTCCCTACAAGCCCCACCCTGACCATCACCGTGTGTGAATACGCACCAATAGTTGGGAGCAGAGAAGACAGTGATGCATTTGCCATTGTGGGTCACCTCGTAGCCCTTATCCTTCACCTCGTGACTGCGAATGATGAAGTCTAGATTGTTCTTCTTCAGAAAGCTGTCGGTAATGTCACTGCCAAACTGGATACCAACACCACGCTTGCTTGATGAGCGACCGGGCGCCTCCATTGGGTCCGACCACAGCAGTTCGCACATCATACCTGTGCATGTGAGCACACACACATTACACCTGCTCACATACATATGCATTACACCTGTGCACACACAGATGTGTTACACCTGTCCACACATGCACGCATTATACCTGCCCACATACACACATCATGTGCGCAGGCAGGTACATGCACGTATATCACACCTGCATCATGCCATAATATGTCAGCATTCAGAGTAAGACAATGTACAATGCAGATAATGAAACTGCCGTAAATTGAGTACAATACCAATTACCATGGGGGTAAAGAAATTAACATTTATTTGACTTTGTATACTTCTGGTGTGCATGTGCGTGCGTGCGTGCGTGTGTGTGTGTCTGTGTGTGTGTGTGTGTATGTGTGTGTACGCGCACGTGCGTGCGTGCATGTGCCTGAGTACGTGCATGCGTGTGTGATAGAGAGGGGGAGGGGTCATGACAATGTGTCTGGTTTATACACTCGTGATAATGATAATGTTGATCCTAAATACATATGACAAACAGTCTTCAGGATTATTCCGCATACAGGTGTTCTGAAATGACATACATATCAAGAAGATAATACATAAAAAATGTGTACGAATATGTGTAGGAATGTTGTGTAATAAACCTTCACACCTTCATCTGGTGGCTGCCTGTTCCTATCAATCTTGCGTAAGTCGTCCAGTGTCGTGGTGTCATCCTTGAACAATCCTCCATGCATTACCTAGCAAGATATGCACAATGAGAGCTACTTAGGGAAACGTGAAGGGTTAATTTAATCTACCAATAATTTAACATAAATGATATAGCACTGTCAGACTAATATAGTTAAAATAGCCTTTTACGATATTCATCACACATTGATGATACATTTGAACCCCGAAAATAGGTGACCTGTATTTTATCTTTTGACCAGTAACTAGAATGAAAACAGCAGCTTACAAGGACTTTGTTATTGATGCAATGAGCCAGAGGCAGGAGGTTGAAGACCTCAGTGAATAGATCACCCATTTGTGGCGTGTACTTGGATTTCACTTCACCATAGAAACCATACATTTGGTTCATCGTCTCACTCTCGTGGTTACCTGAAATCATGAAAGCCAATTTCAATTTCTGATTGGTCAACAGCCATATTTGTTTAAAATCATTATTAAAATACAACATTCTATTATCTGATAATTTATGGCCCAAAATCTAGGATAATGGTTAAAACTACTTTATTCAGAAAGGGTATACAATTCTTCCTAGCATTAATGCATACTGCAGCAGATGGGGTCGTTGTCGTATCAAGTACTACAGATATGTACCCGAGGTAGTTTTAGGTTGTTTAGTATTATTTTTATCTTTTTATATGAGGTATGTTTAGGGTTAGTGTTAGGGTTAGGGTTAGGGTTAGGGTACACTTCTGGACCCGGTTCCACAGTCGTGGATTAACTGTTAACTCAGAGTTAAAAGTTAACTCAGAGTTAAATTCCGTTTCACAGTCGTGGATTAACTTTAACTCCGAGTTAAATATGCCTAACTCAGAGTTAAAATTTAACTCTGGTTCGAACCTGGATTAACTCTTAACTCTAGGGTTAGCAAAATCAAAGTTACCATGCGTATCTATAATTCGATTTAGTTATAGATAGTCTTCAGGTATAATCCTTTAAGACTAGTTTCTAACGCATGTTAGTTTAGCTTCTAGGTAACTAGTACTAGAGCTACTTAGTTTATCCTAGTACTGTGCCCGTGTCCGATCCCATCGCTGCCGCTGCTGGAACATCAGGTTTTGTTTAAGCGTTTGGTGTAACCACTGGTCGGCCATTGATGCCGTACCGATGCTTGACCAGGCCAATCCGTAACCTTTACTAACCAAAGTTCGTGCGTCAATTCATCGTCTATCGTCTAATCGCTCTAATTCGTCTATCGCGTCTATCATCGCGTCTGTCCGTGTCATCTGTTCTAACTACGTGGAATTATGGGATACTAACTCGAGTTTAAAACAATTTAAGCTCTGAGTTACTTAACTCAGACATTTAATCCATGTTTATGAAGACCTCAAATTTAACTCGGAGTTTAATAATCTCAGAGTTAGTGAGTTTAATCAGAGTAGTCTTAACTCAGGGTTAAGTTAATGCGCACCGACCTGTGGAACCGCCTGCTCATACAAGTCTGGTACACTTTGTGTATACATATAGTACCTCGGGTACCATATCTGTCAGCTACCTGATACGAACAAAACGACACCCGTTCACCCATACTGCACATCTTCAGCGTATACAACTGCAGGCCTTACCACAGACCGCGTTTTACACACCCTCTAGTGCCATGAAAGAAAGTGGTCCCTGGATAAAGTAATTTTGAACAAACAGTGGCAGTAATCCACTTCTAGCTGAAATGAGCCTACGGTCAACAAAATCTCCATGAAACAGCTGAAAACTCTATTGAGGAAGTATACTCTTGTAACAATAAACCTAGAATGTCCTATTAAATGCTATAGCTTCAATGGTAACCACCAGAAAAAAAAAAAAAAAAAAAGAAAAAACTATCCTGTCTTCAAAGTGGTCCGATTGCACCGCCATTTGAGTAAAAATCATCACAGTAATCAAATTTGATATACACCGCTCAACATGTAGATTAAATTGCATTCAATCTTCTTACCGCCATTCACCAATATACTCTTTATTATTACGCTGACCTACAAACTAGCAGAACTGTCCACAAGCTTTACACGCCGAACTATCCACAGTCATCAGATGTCATAGTGCAAACGTAAATGTACAAAGAGTACAACTCGTAATCCAACGGTAGCGAAACATACGATACGACGAATGTGCTTGTCTTGGGAAAAGCTAGAAGTTCCAAACAAGGAATACATAATGGGTTGTCAATCGAATCGGAAGTCAATTAACTTGAATAATGTTCAAGAGGTCATAGTACTCGACCAATTGAGACGTCACCACAACTGTAAATTTTGACTTTCTCCCGTTAATTACAATAGAAAAATACTACAGTGACCAGTACGACAATATTAATTATGTAAGCTCAATGCAATGTGATATATGCTTACATATACATATTATGCTTTATATCAAAATTTAATCCAAATATACAACAAAATTAACATTAGACCCATACTATCCTAAGAATATTCATCCTAGTGTTCCTACTAAATGTGAAGATGGCAAACAACGGAAAAATATATACAGCTTACTAATCTTTAATTTATGTAGATATACCATTCTAGCTCATCTTTCTACGTTATACTATGCTTATGATATGTACTACGTTGTACTTACTTCAGAAACGTTATACTCAATGGGCTGCCTGAGAACATCTCATTCTAATTCTTACAAAATCCAGAACGAGAATACATTTAACCTTGATACAATATACTAATCCCTATATAATAATAACCTCGTAATAAAATTGCGTTGTAATTGAGGCTCAAGATTACCCAGCAATCCTAACAGAGGCAGTTTGACCAGCAAAATACATGTCTCATAAAATACACTACCTGTTTTATCGGTTGTAAAAAACAAACAAAGCGACAAACACAGTCATTGTACCATCCTTACTACATAAGCCAATTGTAAA